AAAGACCAAATCCTAGTCTTTAGGATTTAAGTCACAATATAACAATTACTGATTCTACCTCTATGTATATTTCTTTATACCCAAACTTCCTGTATACTCCTGACTTGAAAGTCCACAGAAAATACTGGCATCTACAGGCACAAACACACAGGAGAAGCCACCTTTCCCTTTCTCTTTCATTTGCAGCTTCTGAGGAATGGAGCAGCAAGGTGTATGGGGCAGAGACACACCCTGTGCCGTGGGTAACAAAACAAGCACAGCTCTAGCAGCAGTGCATCCGTTGCCTTGTGCCTGCCAAGCAGACTGCCTTCTGGGAGCTCCAACTTCAGCATTTCATTAGGCACTTGCTAAATAGTCACCATGGAAGACAGAATACTCACCCAGGCCTTGGACCAGTAGAGAAAGACTTCATGCAGCAGACCGTTGGCGTGGTTTGGAATACAGGAATTGGAACATTGGTGAAAGGAGAAAGGAAGTGAAGTGAGAGAAGAAGAGCCCATGAATTCAGGGATGATGGCCAGAATGTTTGACATGAACCAAGAATTCATACAAGGACATTTACAGCACTGCATTTGTGTGTGTGCTTGTATGTGTGTGGGGGTGGGGTGGGGCATGAAGACAATAATTAAAGTGCCATTTTTTTTTAATTTCTTCAAACCCTCTCCAAGTGACAGTAACAGGATTTGTATTTTGACAAATTTACAAAGGAGCTAAACGAGATAAGATAGCAGATAGTGACAAAATGTGGAAGTTTGAAATTAGATGGAGAAATACAAGCTGATGGATGCCATGGCAGTAGGCCCCTCTGGAAATGAGACTTTTTCTCCAAGATCTAGGACACTGTTACTCAGATATAGCAGAAGATTACAGTTTGTGTTCTACAGCAGGAGCAAAAGCTAGTCTCTGGACTGGAGGTTTCTAGGGATCATCAGGAGTGAGGAAATGAGGTTAATTTTTACAGGTTAGATAGTGGAAGTTTGAGCTGTTTTCCTTCTGGTGGAGAAGCCAACCCTGTTGCATCTGGGAGAGAAGTTGGGAGACTGACTCTTCACTGCTGAACATGGCCAGCCTAGAGGAAGCAAGCACATCTCCTTGCAGCAGGCACTGTGGGGAATGAGCCCAGGTGCCTGCAACCTTCCAGACAGCTTTGTTGCTCTGTAACCAGCTAAGCACAGCCAGGTGTTCGAGGATGATTTAAATGTGTGTGTGAGAGAGACCCAAATCAACAGACAAGCAACCTCTTTAAAGAAACTACATTAAGGAACAAAACTCTAAAAACCAGTGATATTTTAGCCTTTGGCTTTTTTGTTTTGTTTTAGATCTAAATGTGCCTGCAAAACAAGATCAATATGACAGGGGGAATGCACACAAGCAATAAAAACCAAGGCAACGAGAATGAGATACTGCAAATCCAAAGTTCAACAAAGTAAATGAAAATTGTACAACTATAGGTTTGGGAAGATAAGAAAAAAAATCTCAGAAGATGCAGTATAGCGATTTAAAAAACTAGAGAAATGGGAGAAGTAAACAAGAGCACAGGGCCTAATCCACCTGCATTCCAGCATTCAGTTAACAGGCAATGAGCATTTGAAACTGCATAGAGAGAACACAGTTTCTCAGGCTAGTCAGACTTAAGGACACCAGCAGAGAAACTCCTCTAGGGCAAAGGGGAGAGAGCCAGACCAAATGAAACCCCAGACAGCACAGATACCTTATCCATAAAGACCAAAGAGGCAGCTACACCAGAGCTCACAAACACTTAAAGGTAAGGCCCAAAATAGAAGGTATGGTTATCACATAAATGAAAAACTGTTAGGTAATACTTCCTTGTGTTTACATGGGGAAGTATATACAACATAAAACATTAAAAATACATCAAGCATTTTAATTTCAGAGGAATTAAATATAAGAAACATGCCAAATAGGCAGAACTATCTAACAAAGGGACTTAAGGTGTACTATGAGTAAGTTTTATGTAAAATGTTCATATAAATAGGTTATAAACATACCACTGTTAGCAGAAAATGGACAAAAGAGACTAAGGTAGTATGATAAGATCCAAAGGCCCACATGAGTGAAAAGCCCAGAACGACCCATGAAATTATAACTTGAGTTATACTTCATCAAATAGTAAAAGGCTTAAAAAGTAAGTTTGTAACATTGGGGAGTGATCATTTCTTACCGAAAAGCTTTGGCACTGTGTGCTACAATAATGTCATCTGATCTACAAGTATGTACTCTGAGAAATTTCATTCAACCAATATTTTACTGGATGTACTGTTTCAGATACTTGAAGCTGAGGTAAATATTTGCATGTGATTGGTAATAACTGTGGAATTGTGAAACATAACTGTCCAATGAGAGAAGAGGTGAGTCTTTTATTTCTATAGAATGTTTTCAGCTTTGGACTACTGTGAATGGTAAATAAATGGTCGGTAAAGATGATGCTTTCTAAAGAAACAGTAGCTAATATCTGAGCCATGGTGCTGGTAATCCCCATCTAAAGCAAGAGATTTGGAACATGTAAACAGCATGAAAGAAAGTTTTCCTCCTATAGTCTGTGCTATGTCTGTAGTAGAAAGGGCCATTAATACTCAACTTCATTTTCTATCTTCTCTCTTTTAAAACACACACACACACACACACACACACACACACACACACAATGTAGGCATCATTGTATTTTATGTAAGTTTATTCTATGTGGAGGGTCCCAAGGAAAGTGTCATTGGTGCATTGTGGAGGCTAGGGAACAACTTTGAGTTCTTTCCTTCTCCATGTGGGTCCTGAAGATCGAACTCAGATCTTCAGTCTGTGCAGCGGGTGCCTTACCCACTGAGTAATCTGGCTGACTGGAGGCATTGTTTTTAAAAGATGTGGAGCAATGGCTTTCTAATTTCCAGAAATACTTCAAGTTAAGACACCAATTTTTTTTTATAAACTAATGAGATAAAATACTTGGCTTCAATTGTCGGAACCATCTAGCCTCTTTGGTGAAGACTCCTGTTACTGTGGTTGCCATGGATCAGATAAAGTCTACCATGACAGGTGTTCTCTACTGGTCCTATGGGCTATATTTGAGAGAAGTCAGAGGCCAGACTTATGTAAAGTGGCCAATTGAGATTTGGTACTGAAGGATTGCTATAACTATAGTTGGCAGATTATAGGCAAAACTATCGTGAATACAGACTAAACTTGCAAATCAGAGTATTGCCTTATATACAGGGACACATTGCCTTATTCTTTCTAGAACTTCACAAATGCAGTTTAGAAAAGACTAAATGCCTAGCTCAAAACATATTCAATTCAATATTCAATTATTAATGGGGGCTCCTGTTTATAGCAAACATTTTTATTATGTCTTGGAGGAAAGATCCTCATGTAGTATTTGTCTTCTATTAAATTACCTCACTTTTTTAGACCAAGTGTTTCAGACCAATGAAATATTTGCCTATATATTTAAAATTGATTGTATATGTCAAAGTAATTTATAAAATCATTGGGGTGTGTGTATGCACATATGAATGTGCACTAGTTTATGAGCTTATGTGGAAGGAAGGTCAGAAGTACATCTCAGCTGTCTTTGTCTCCATCTTGCTTTTTGAGATGAGTCTCTCACTGAACCAGAAGTTGTTTGCTTAGGCTAGAATATCCCTACCCCTGTCTGTTTCTTCCCTAGGCCTAAGCTCTAGGGTTACAGACATAGCACCATACCTGACTTGTACATGGGTACAGGGGATCAAGACTCCGGTCCTTTTGTTTGCACAGCAAGGACTTTATCCACAGAGCAATCTCTCTAGCCCCATAGATGAATTTTAAGATTAAAAACTTGGGGTAAGATGGGAGATTATCACATGATTCATGGAATGTCAGTAGTAGCCTGCCTTCGAGACTGGTTGAATAGACTTGGGGAGTGCTGTCAGCAGGGGAGCAGAGTAGGCTGCATCCTTGTGTGGAGGGTTACAGTACAAGGAGACTTCCTGAGGGTGAAGCTGGCCTCAGGGCCTCACAATAGACTCTGTTGGTGCCTTTGACATCTGGGGAATGAGATGAAACTGTCAGTGATGACTAGGATAGCTGTGTTGCCATTGGTGTAAATGAAGACATCCACCAGAATTAGTCTCAAAGGGGAAATGGTTCACTTGTCCTTTACAGTTGACTCTCAGGGCCTCAGTGGAAGATCCAACACAGAGAAGCAAAGTTGAGAGCATAAGTCTTAAAGGGACTTAAGACTTAAGAGAGCCTAAGACTTAAAGGGACTGTGAAGGTGAGTTATGCGGAAGTACCAACCAAAGCCAACAGCATGACAGGAAGTTCGGAAGAATGAGAGTTGAGCTTTGAGATAAGGTTGCACTTATGTAGTGAGTGGTGGTTGAGGGGGGAATCCAAGGAGAAAAAGAAAATCCAGGGAAAAGGGATAGTGCTCTAGAGGTCAAAGACTAGGAGGAAGGGGAGGTATTCAGTAAAACGCCCACATGAGTAAGGTGTAACTCTAGCGCGCCATCTGGTGGGGGAGGCCAGTTTGTCACTGAGGACTCTTGAATTAAACTTTTAAGTTTTGACACATTTTAGAACTGAAAAGAAGGTGAAAGGGAAACAGCTTTACCCATGAAAGAGACTGGTGACTGGAACCTTAATAAAGAAAATGGCGATAGTGCTTGCTTAACTGACTGGAGTGAATAGGAGGTGCTGAGGTAAGGAGTGGAGGTGCAGAGACTAGTTCAGGGTAGGAGTAGCCTCTCCTAGGAGAGCAGGAGAGATAGGATGCAACCAAGAGGAGACAGGATGCCGTGGCCCCGTGGGCTCCATTGAATTCTATCTCTAATAAAAGTGTTCCAAGTGTCTACAATAAAGACCTAAGATTCGTGGGAAATAGCGTGACACAGAAGCAGCTCTCAGTATACTGTGTGGAAGACAACAGGACCAGGCGGAACTTGAGACTGAGGACTGGAGCTAGTGGGTTTTCATATCATCTTCTCCACATCACGGTCTTCATAAAGTGGGAAAATCACCTCTATGAGTCAACAATTTATGGTGCTGACGTTAGCGACTCCCTGTTTGATGGGAAAACTCAACACTGGAACGTGGGACACCTGGGAACAATTCAGGACCTGTAGGAACAAGAATGTGGCATTGTGATTGAAGGCGTCAACACGCCCTACTTGTACTTCGGCATGTGGAAGACCACCTTCGCCTGGCACACGGAGGACATGGACCTGTACAGCATCAACTACCTGCATTTTGGGCAGCCCAAGACGTGGTACGCAGTGCCCCCTGAGCATGGCCCGCGACTGGAGCACCTCGTCAAAGAGCTGTTCCCGGGCAGCTCCCAGGGCAACCAGGCTTTCCTGAGGCACAAAGTGGCACTCATCTCACCCACTGTGCTCAAGGAGAACGGCATCCCCTTTGGCCGCATGACCCAGGAGGCTGGGGAGTTCATGGTCACTTTTCCCTATGGCTACTACGCTGGCTTCAACCATGGCTTCAACTGTGCAGAGGCCATCAATTTCGCCACCCCCAGG